GGACATTTATTATTTTATATAACAAGGTGTCCAGTGGTTAGGAGAGTCATGAGGTTGGTTTATTTTGCAACTAAATGATGTAATAAATGACCAAGGTTTCTTCCTTCTTCCACTCTGTCAAATCACAGCTTCATTCTAAGGCTGCTTCTCTTCATGATTACAGTATGGCTACTGGTCTCAGACAGGAATATGTGCTTCCCTGTTCATATCCAGTGGAAGATAGATCACCAGCAACAATCTCACAGAGCTTGTAACTAAAGTGTAAATGCTTTGATTTCTCAGGGTCTTAAAGACTCCAGACAGTCAGCTATAAAAAGTACTTATGTAATTAGCAACATTCTGAGATAAACAGAGCTTCTCACTACAGTAACAATACTAGTATGTCTTATTTGTACAGAGCTCAGATTGGCGATAGATCTTTGACAATATCCATGTTGAGGCTTTTAGACACTGTACTTCATGTTTGGTGAGCATGTTAAAGTTTCCCAAGCAGTGTAATAGCTCATCTATAAAATCTTTAGTTGAAGAGATGAGGACTCTGAGGATCTTAGAGGAGTCAAGTGACTTAGACAAATTGACCATCAGTTAGTGACCCAGTCAGAGGTCACATTAGACCTTCAAACATCCTTCTCATAATTCTTTCCTTCACATCACATTGATTCCCTCTTCAGTGCTTAGATTTCACTAGGGAGACACAGTAGCAATTTCAAAGAAATATTGCAAGTCTATAATGATGCTCACAAGCTTTATATGTCAGGACACTCACATTGTTTTTATCCCCCAACTTGGCTATTTGGAATTTTAGACTCAAATGTGATAGCACAAACTTAAAATCCTGGAGTCTCATTAACTTTTCCATCTCCCTTCCTTCAACATCCAATCAACTGTTCTGATAGGTGAATTCTAATCCCTAAATCTCTCTTGCATCCATCCCCTGCTTTCTATTTCCACAGCATCAATATATGCTCAGGCCCCTATAATATGGTATCTTCTGTCTCTTTGTCTCCATTTTCTCCACACTGTACTTCTTACACAATGGTGCTCTTAGTGTTTTGAAAACACAATGCAGATAATGACATATCCTTGTCTGCCCCTAAAACTTTATTAATATTTCTTTGACTATAGATTAAATTTGTAACTCCATAATATGGCTTTCTAAGGCCCTCAACTATCTGACTCCACTATTCCTTTCGAATCGAGAAAATCCTCCTTTCTGGATGGAGGTTTTAGTCAGTGATGTATTAGAGCCAGCTCACAATGGCTTGCAAGAGCCAGTCTTACACCTCTCTTCCCAACTCTGTGTTCAGTGATGTCGCTACAGTAGCTTAAAGCTGACCATGGCATAGTAGGAACTTTTACACAAGACAAATCAGTCAATGCTGCAAATCAAAGCCTTTTTCCTTTTTGAAGAGCTGGTTATTAAACATTTATCAGTACACCACCAGTTGCACAGTAACCAGGACTAAATCTGACAGTGAGGGTTCCTTATGATAAGGGAACAAAGATGTTGACACTGAAATTCCAGGCACCAAATCAGAGATAAGAGGGCCTAAGAGGAGAGAACAAGAAACATAGCATTGAAAAAATGTTGAGAAGGTAGACCTGGGCAAAGATTGAGTTCCCACAGAAGCATACATTGATCAAGGGATTTGAGTTCAAGTGGTTTATTGGGAAGATAATCCAAAGAAGCACTGGTAGGGGAGTGAGGGAAGTGACACTATGAAGGGAAGACAGCTAATACAGGGCACATTTTTAAAAATATATTTTTATTGATTTCAAAGAGGAAGGGAGAGGGAGAAAGAGAGATAGAAACATCAATGATGAGAGAGGATCATTGATTGGCTGCCTCCTGCACGCCCCACACTGGGGATCAAGCCCACAACCCAGGCATGTGCCCTGACCAGAATCAAACCTGGGCCCTTTCAGTCCGCAGGCCAACACTCTATCCACTGAGCCAAGCCAGCTAGGGCAATACAGGGCACATTGATGAGCAGGTTTCTACTGTGGGCAATTGAGGTTCAGTTCCACTGGAGATTTTTGGGAGAGTGAGTAAAACATGCCTTATGGTTGCCCACACAAGGGTGAGAAGTATGGGGAGTTTATCCTCAGGTAGATAGATAGCTGTGGTCGCTTGCATAAGACGTGGAAGGTATGTAGGGGAAGACAATGCAAAGGGGATATGAATAAGACATAGACACTCATGGTTTTCTGTTTTGTTTTTTTGTTTTATGTGTGTGTGTGTGTGTGTGTGTGTGTGTGTGTGTGTGTGTGTGGTTTTTTAAAAAAATAATATACTTGGTGATGGCATGGCTTCATTTAAACGGTCAATGATGGGATTGACCATTTGTGATTCCAATTGTGAATCATTTGTTGCTACTCCACACACCCTATTTGTTCCTTCCTCTGGATCTACTCTCAAGTTCCTTCCTTTGCTGTAATATCCCTTTGTTGGTCCCTCTAGTTTGACAATTTTCTAATTCTTCCCAGTACATCAAGGATTAGTGCCACCTTCTCCAAGAACTCCATCTAACCCCTACTCCTACTCCTGATGCTGGAAGCTGGATGAGGAGCAAGTCAAGCTGGAGGTCCCATGGGGCCTGAAGCAAGGGAGCAGGAACAAGACCCTACACCTTGGTTAGAATGTATGGGGTCAGAGGACACATACAGAAGTTGTGCTGTGGAGTCATTTCAAATGGTGAGCTCCACGTGGGAAGGGACTCGTTACTCCTATTTATCACTATATCCCTTAGAGCCCACCCATCATAGAGACCTGGCCTATCGTGGTTACATAATTGTTGTTTGCAGCAGAGAAATGTGAGTAAATGGAGGGCTGGGTGGACAAAGGGAACTCTGTAGGGAGCCAAACCAGGCAGCTGAAGAGGAATTAGAGGAATTGTGGAACAAGAGGATGAGTGATAAACCCTATAAGGCAGTGGTTCTCAACCTTGGCTGCACATTAGAATCACCTGGGAATCTCTTTAAAATCCTGATTTCTGGGCTGCATCCTCCGGAAATTCTGTTTCTTTGTTACTCATGTTGTGGCCCCGCCCCATCACAAAGAAACAGAATTTCCAGAGGATGAGGCCCAGAAATCAGGATTTAAAAAAAGATTCCTAGGTGATTCTAATGTGCAGCCAAGGTTGAGAACCACTGCTATAAGGTGTTTTTTCCGCATGTGATGAAGATTTCAGTTGAGATGTGTTTTGAGATTCAGTGAAATTGCCTTTAACCTCATCCCACTTGTGAGGTAGCTCTTCTCTTCCAATATCTCTGAGGGTTATGGGTGGTTTAGGTTTTATTTTGAATCCTTCTGGTGGGCTGAGTGCCTACCTTCATAGAATTATGAGGGTTTGTGTATTGCTTTGACATCTCAGAAGTGTTGCCCACATTCTCTACCACAGCACTGCAGACACTTTTTGATTTTTCCCCAAACATCATTGCTCATATGAGTTGTCTGTGCAGGTAGCACAGTTGACTGAATATATGGACTTTACATTGGCATGCAGTTTGACTTCTCCCTCAGCCTCCTTGCAAACATTCAGTTTCCTTCCCTGTATTACATAGACTAATTTTGTTCTCTGAATCCTATCCAACAACTGGCCAATTTCGCCTCTTAAACAATGCTTAATGGTCTTTTCAAACAAAATATCCATCTGTGCTCTTACTTGGAGCATTCACTGTATAACTTCTTACCTCCATGCCTTTGCAAACACTTGCCACTGCCTGAACTATTCTTCCAGAGCAAAAGATTTGGCAAAGGTTTGGAAAATTTGGTCTTTCTTGCTCTTTATCCCACACCAGTCTCTGTAAGTAGAAGGGAATCTTGTCCAGATTTATTTCCCTGATGATATTAATTATGACATCACAACCATCCCTGCCCTTGAAGTGGCCATAGTTGGTTTTTAAATAATATTTTTCTTGTATTACATATACTTCTAGCAAGTGCTTACCTGAGTTTGCTAAAGTTTAATAAATTGACCAGAAGAGGCAGCCCCCACCCCTTTCCCTCTTCCCCTGGCTCCTTCCCTTTCCAGCTTAGAGCATTTCCCCTTTCTATGATGTGGTAGCACTTCCTCTGGACCTCTTCTATGGGCTTATGTTATTGCTATTTAGTTACAAATCTTAACACCCTAATTGACTGTAAATTCTGCAAAGGTGAGATCATCTTCATCCTCTGAAATTCTAGCCTAAACAAGTATCTAACACAGAATAGATTTTGAAAACATCCAATTTGTAAGTGTAGGTGGATGAATTAATGTGAAGCTTTGGATGGCCCCTTAGTGACCCGGAGAGGAGAAGCATATGGAACTAACCTCCCCACTTCTACTGATTCTGAGTTCCTGCTATAATTAGTAGTCATCTACTGATTTATTGAAGACCTACTATGTGCAAGACACAATGGGACCTCCAGCTTCTTGCCATGAAAAAAAATAAAATAAAATAAAAAGTTAAAACTAAAAGCTTCCAGGGCACTTCTTCCTGTACTTCTTTGTTTTTGTGCAAAGGCTTGGGATTAGAGATAGGAAGATGATATCACTGGAAATATTGAGGGCTGTCATGTCTACCTCTGGCTTTTGGCACTGCCAATTCACATTTTTCTGAATGAGTTATTTATATGTGCCTTCACACCAGCTAGCACTGCAGTGCCTTGCATATATTACATGCTCAGTGAGTTGTCAATTGATTTTGTATAAGTATGTGACAGCATAAATATATTATAAAAATGAGGAGTCTGGGCACCAAAAGAGTCAGGATTTTTTTCTAAAAAACAACAACAACCCCACAGTGGTGGTGAAGCTTGGCTTAAAGTTCAAATACCCCTGAACTCTGCCCTGCAGTATCTCTAAACAGAGGGATTTGATAAGGTAGTTGAAGGATAATATTACCTTTGCTCTCTCGCTGCAATCAAAAGCATTCTTAGCTTTTGTGTGGACCCCACTGACTACTTCGGTGAAGCATTTTCAGGTGCATAGAATCGTCCTTTCCACTAGCAAAAGAAGATGCTGTTTAATTTGAGGATCCTGTTGAACAATGCAGCTCTTAGAAATGGTCAGAGGTTTGTGGTTCGAAATTTTCGGTAAGTGACAATGGCCAGAGTTTTGAGTCTGATTTAGGAACCATGTTGATAAATGGACTTTATTCTGCAGAGGAGTGCAGCTCAAAAGGTCTCTTTCTGCAGGGTGTATTGCCAGGCTTGACCCTTAGAGACAGCTGTCTCTAATTCCAGTTGAGCTTTCATTGCTCAGTCCTCTGTAATCAGATTTCATCTTGTGTTGGGGGGTCGGGGTGGGGAGCTAACTGCGGCAGATATAACAGACTAAATGTTCTTGACATCTTCTGTTTGTGTACATTCTAAATGAACAACTGGCTGAAGAAAATTAGAGGAACTAATTTGCACAGGGCCTTCAGTTTGTATTCAGGTTCGCTTGAAAACAATAAATCAGTCTAGTACATGGGGATTAATCACTCCTTTAAAAGAACAGACTCCAAATTGCAACTAGATTAACATTTACAAAGCTGCTGTAAAGGAGCCTTATGTGTGATGAGGAAAATAATTCTTTTAAAAATAAAATCCAAGTTTGATATCTATTCCTGAAATTCTTGGTAGCATGTGCAAAGGAGGCTGTCTCCACTGGATTCATTATAAAAGCAACACCCAGCTTACAGCCATAGAGCACAAGGTGGAAAATGGTGGGGAAGGAGACAAGGGTGTTGAGCTAGCTGTGTAAGTAAGGTAATTAAATGTGGACTTTATTGCCAGAAAGTTTCTAGAGTATCTATAACATGTTAACAATCAGACAGAATTTCCCCAGGGCCTCTTTACAACCTAAACCAACCTTAAAACAACTTTACTGACGTCTTAAAGGAGTAAGCGTCTAGTCTGAAGTTTCTTCCCACTGTTAGGAAGTGGCCCTCGGCATCCCTTCTCTGGGTCACCTCACAGTTCTGAGCTCTCTGGACTTCATCACTTCTTTGGTGAACATAAAACTCACAGAAGATAGAATGTGATTGTAAATAATATTGTAAATTAAGTCCTTAGTATTAGACCTAAGTGGGACCTCAGAGCCACAGAATAATGCCTTCTCTTAATATACAGATAAAGTAAATGAAGTCCAGAGAGATTATGGGGTTTACCAATTACTATCAGAATTATACCATATATCCAAGAATCTGAAGGAAAGCTCAGGTTTTTGGGTCTCAAGAACTAGGTTCAAGGCCTGGCACCACCACTTGTTGGTTATATGAACTTGAGCAAGTCACTAAATGTTTCTGTGATGTCAATTCACTTATAAAATGGGAAAAAGAATAATATCTGTTCTGCTTCCACAGCAGAGTAGTACAATCATTCATTTACTAAATATGTATTGAGCACTTACTTTGTGCCACAGGCAAGGTGTTAGAGATACAGTGGTAAATAAGGTAAATAAGATATTTCATTCCAGACACATGAAGTCACAATCTACTGATAACCAGTAAGAAAACTGGAAAATGACAAATGTCCATTATTTTATTATTCCATCTCACTGAGTTACATCATATAAAAATGTGATGAAATTTTATTCCACTGTTTTGAACAAAGAATCATCACTGAGCTGAAGGCAATCAACTGAATGAAAAAAAGTTCCAAAGCTTGGAACTTAAACTTATATTTTCCTTTGAAAAGTACAGTAAGATTTTCAATGCCCTGGCCAGTTTTGCTCAGTGGATAGAGCATCAGCTCTCGGACTGAAGGGTCCCAGGTTTGATTCCAGTCAAGGGTATGTACCTGGGTTGCAGGCTCGATCCCTGGCCCTGGTTGGGGTGCATGCGGGAGGCAACCAATCAATGTGTCTCTCTCACATTGATGTTTTTCTCTCTCTGTCTCTCCCCTTCCCTTTCACTCTCTCTAAAAACCAGGTGAGAATTTTAAAAAAATTAAAAAATAAAAAGGATGAAACATATTCATTAAAAATAATTATCACAGGTTAAATTTTTGCAAAACCTCTTCAAAATATTTGTGCTTTTTGATATTTACTAATATTCTAAAATATTCCAAGCCCCCCTCACCCATTTCTCTTGGGAAAAGTGGAAAGTCCTTGTTACAAAACCTACCATGTGAGTTTACCACTAAAGAGTAATAGGAAATATGTAGTTAGGGTTTGGCAATGCCACAAAATAGAGACTGCACAGTTTTGAAGTGAGCTGCCATGTCACTATAAACATGATAAAATAATAGCTTAAGTGAGCTATTATTTATCCACACTGGCTTGTGGATCAATAATTTTTAGTCAATTATTATATTTTTTTACAAAATCCATAGGATCAGACACCACGACTACTGAAAACACCCAATCCATAGGCTTTTCATCTTAAAAACAAGGCTCTAGAGCCTGGCTGTGTTTGGATAATAGACAGTGTCCTATGATTTGTTGCCTATTAGGGAAACCACTTACATCTTTTAAAGAAACCACTAAAAAATCTCTTTATCAGAGAAGAAAAATTTGTAAGTGCAGTTCAATTTCATCTCACAAATAGAAATTTCTTCAGGGAATATTGAGCTAAGCCACCCAATTCTGTGGAGGTTATGGATTGGAGCTTGTGGTGACTGGTTTTCAGGTATTTCATTCCAGACCTCTCTATGGGCTTACATAAATCATTATATTCCTTTCATCCAACACTGATGCCCATCTATACACATATGGACACAGATGAAGCAATTACAGTCCATCCATGTTTTTACATAGAGGAGATAAAACAGTCCCCTTTAATTATTCACATTTTCTTTCATAACTAAAAATGAATGGCTTTTTAAAAACATATTTCTTGACTTCAGAAAACTGTAAGTATAAAGCATAAAACCAGGAATGGAATGAAATCATAATGTTTCCCTTAGTCAACAGTAGAATTTGGGTTTTATTTCTAGTTTTTTATTTTTAATAATATAGTAATTTAACTAAGATAAAAGAAGTAGAGGCAACCATAGATTTTTCACAGTTTTGTATTTCCAGTCTTTTAATAGTAGATCTGCAAAAAGCTAATCATCATCTCATTCTTCAATCTTCAGATGAGGAAAATATCACAACATTTTAGAATGTTGACAATCTAAGGTATTTTAGAAACCACCTAGTCACCAATTACCAATAGTAATTTATACCACAAGGGAGTATGTAGCAACAATGAGAAAGGTTTCAAGTAATTTTTTGTTAAATTATTATTGCTGTTAATAATAAAGACATTTAGAAATAATCTGTGCTTTTTTCAGATTAGTAGGATCAGATTCAAGAGTTTTGTGAAAATAAAGTCACTCTTCTTTGCATGTATTATAATATGTCTTCTTGAGATAGAAAGAAAAGGATAGAATTAAAGTTAGGCCACTGAGAATTCAATGACTCCAATATAGCCCATGACAAATCTTGTCTTTATGAACTAACTTCATTAATATTGTGGAAGACAAAGACACAAAGGATTACTGACTTTTGGTACATTTTCTTAATTTTTCAGATGAGAAATTGAGGTCAAAGTTGGGAAATTATCTTCCTAAGGTCATAGTTGAACTAGAACTAGAATTTAAATATTTAAAATCTCTGCTCTATTCATTCCACTGCTTTGATTACTTTGATCCTTCTAAATTGATCAAGTTGGCCAATGTACTCTTGCACAACATCCTTTTTTGTAGGTATAGCCAAAAATATCTCAGTAACAGCAACAATAACAACAACAACAAAAACTCAAGAAAATATGCCTTAACTGTTGTATCAATCTGCAATGTTAAAGTAATACCAAAATTTCAGCCATAGGGGCCATTGGTCCTCTCTTATGCCTCCAAAAGCTAGTCTTTATCTTAAAGTCTCCACAGTGATCAAAATATCATTTAACATTGAATTGTTCCTACCCTGGCAAAATCTGTTTCAGACTGACCACATTTTACTCGAATCAAGCCCTTTTTCTTCCAACAAAATACAATTATACAGGGGAACACATCCAGGTCTTCCCCCATGCTTCAAACAATTTAACAGAATTGGAAAAATGTAGACTAGCAATAAAAGGTTCATTCTTCCAATAAGAAAACACTCCTCCATTTTCTAGCTGGGAAGGTATTTGAGTAAAGCTAACACAAGGATCTACTATTACCTTGGCTTAACTTCTTAGCATTCAGTGATTTGGGGTTGAGAAATCTCTATAATTACCTTTTCAAAGGATAAAATTAATGTAAGAAACTGTCTTGCCTATTTCAAAATTCTGGCTTTAACCAGGCTGCGATGACAATGACAGTTTTGATGGAAAATCTGTACATGGTTCCCATTGTTTTCTCCAATATAGTATCGTCCCTATTATGCATTGGCTTAAACATGCATGTGGTTTAGGTCTGGTTTACCAAGAAGATACATTTAAGTACAAGGGCACCATATATTTTATGGGAAGAATAAAATAGTGATTCTGGCCCTGGTCTGGGTGCTCCTGAACCAGACTAAGCTGCCTCCAACTTCAGCATGGAGTCTCTATGCCATTTAAGCCAGTGGTTTTAACTGGCTAATTCAAGTGTGGGTTTATCACCAGAAAGCAACAACTGGTACAACTATGGAGCTCGTCTACTTTTCTCTAATTTTTAAGTAGCTTAGGAAAGAGGTGTGGCAGTCTCATTTTGGAGCCAAGGCAAGGGTGCTATGAGGAGATAGTAAACAGGATAGGAATTTAAACTGGAACCATTGTGTTTGCTTTCCTTCCAGTGATAAATTTTCCTGGTTAGCTCTTGATATCTATGAAAAACAGCTCTTTTTCCCAAGCAAACATTTCCTGCCCCACCTCTTAGATAGAACTGAGAAAGGTGGTAACTACTCTAATGATTGTTCAAATGTGTAAATAGTATGACCCCCTTTATCAGTTGAGGTGTAATGTAAAAAAAAAAAATTCTAGTTTACCACAGAAGCACTCACATGCCAGTATGATGTATCTACTTCTCCACCCCTTTTGTCTTTAAGACTCCTGGGGACTTATTCTGTCCAAAAGGGGTTAGAGGAGAGAGAGAACCAAATATCCATATAATTCACTGTCACAGTACTTTGGATTTGGCCCTCATTCTGCCATAGATAAAAACTTGTTCCATCATGTCCTCTCATCAGTTTTCCAAGTTTTTGCACTTGACTCAGACTGCTCTGCTTGGGATACAAGGTTATAACTTTGTTTCACATTCTTATGTCTAACCATTATTCCCAGGACTGCAAATACTGTATTGGAGTGTTTGAGCCCTAGAGGATTTCAGCTTTAGCAAATCAATTCTCTTCCAAGACTCTTAGGCCTGAGCCACAGCCCATACTTGTTCTTACCTCAACATTAATTCTGTTTGGGGGTCTTGGTGTTCTTTTTTGTCATCAGATCTTGGGTCAGAGCGTTGAAAATCCGTCATGACAAATCTCTAAATTTATCCCAGTCATTTCAGTAAGCAGTGCATAAATATTAATGAATAAAACAGGCAGGATGTCTGATATCATGGATCATGTAATCCAATGGAAAGATAAAAAGTAAGCAATAAACAGAAGCATACATATATATTAAAATTGTGAGCAGTATTATGAACAAAATGAAGGCAAAGTGGAAACTACTTAGTACTGTCAGGGAAGGAATTGGATAGGAGATGGTATTTAAGCCTCCAGCCTAAGGAAAAGAAAAAGTCAGTCTTGAGAACTCAGAGGACAGTGTTCTGAACAGAAGAAATGGTATACAATAATCTTTTTTAAAATATATTTTTATTGATTTTTTACAGAGAGGAAGGGAGAGGGATAGAGAGTTAGAAACATCAATGAGAGAGAAACATTGATCAGCTGCCTCCTACACACCTCCTACTGGGGATGTGCCCGCAACCAAGGTACCTGCCCTTGACCGGAATCGAACCTGGGACCTTTCAGTCCACAGGACGACGCTCTATCCACTGAGCCAAACCGGTTTCGGCTGGATTATTTTTTCTTTTTGTTTTTCCGGTTGGGTGATTTTTGCTTCTTCGTATTTCAAATCTTTGAAAAAAAAGGTACATCTTTGAAATAGGAATGTTAACCAAAATTTTGATTCACATATAAGTGGAAAACACTACTTTCTATTGGAGTTTAATATGTCATTAGTATCTTCTATTAAATCAATCAATCAACCATTTAGCCAACTAACTCACAAATCATCATTATGGATGTTCCTTTCTTTAATAATAGAATCTTTAAAGGGCTTAATCTCACAAAAATCTACTGAAAAAATCTGCTCACCTACTGAACACTAAATGAACAAATCAACTGCCAGAAAGTTGAATATTTAGTGAAATATTCATTTGTCTAAGTTATATGACATCATGTAGTGGAAACAACAAATTGAGTGAATTTATGATTTTCCTACCTATCACCATCAATGAAAAAAGACATACATAAATCCTACCATAGAATTTACTCTTTATCTCAAGTAGCTCAAGGTCTCTTCTTAGGCTGAAATTTAAGCATGATAATTTTGTCACAGTTGTTCTACTCCTGATAAAATTAATGTTTAATACATGTGGTAAACCACATTTTGCCCTTGGTTACTCATAATTTCTAATGATATATAATAGTAATTATTGTTAATTAGGGATAACACTGGGAATACTGAAAGAAATGCTGTCCATTTTATATACTGATCATCTCAAATAACAAATTATCATCAAATGTAACAGAATATTAAAATAGTACTCTTTCTGTCTCAGTTTCTGGCAGACAATTACAATTAGTGCACTAATCTCAGGCCCATACCTGGGAATCATAAAGTAAGAAGGGATTAAAGGGGGGAATAAAGGGGACATCTGTAATACCTTCAACAATAAAGATAAATGTTAAAAAACTAAAAAGAAACAGCTTTATCAATGCCAAAACAGAATTCAATTTCTTTCTTCAAATTCTTTTCTCTCAACAATAAAAATAAAGCGTATCTAAAATGCCAACCACAGCCATATCAATTTCAATGCGTTAGCACTTTGCAGAGACACATGAGGTTACATGTGATTTACTATTTTGTTTCAAGAATAAAACAATGAGTCACTACAGGACATGTTATATATATATATATATATATATATATATATATATATATATATATATATATATATATTCTTTTCTTTTCTTCTTTTGTAGATGTGGCCAACCATTACAAAATAAAGTGCAGCTGAAGGGTCGTGACCTTCTCACTCTAAAGAACTTTACAGGAGAAGAAATTAAGTATATGCTATGGCTATCAGCAGATCTGAAATTTAGGATAAAACAGAAAGGAGAGGTATGTAGCATTTTTATCTTACCTTCCATTGCTACCAATCAGATTTTGTAAAGACAGCCTTACAAAGAAAGAGGGAAAAGAAAACACATTAAAATTCCTAAACAGTAGCAAGTAATGGAACCACACAGTCAAGGTAATTGATTACTGAGTGTACAGGCACATAAAAAGCATAAAAATCAGTTATTCAATGACAAGTCATTGCACTTCTTTCATGTGGAATGTTGAAATTCATTATTAACTGGATCAGAACCTAAAGAATCATTCTCCAGAAAGATTTTATTTTCATGCCTCCTTTATTTTCTTTGTGTGTTTTCTATCAAGTTAAAAATAAGGATGATATATTATTTTTCTAGCCAAAACTTTCAATTGCGAATGCATATCAGATATATGATCATTAGGATATCAAAAATTTACAGTTGATGTGACAGTGTTTTAAAATTTTATATTAGCAAAGAAACAAATGTTAACCAAGTAGAGGGAAAATGAGATATGGTGCTTAGCTGAAATCATTATTCTGCTTTTTGAGCAATTTATGTTTGCACATGCTTAATTAATGCAGTAGCTTCATTTAGACTGCTTAATTGTGGAAGCATTTTTGTATTCCAAACTTGGATAAAAAGCTTTTATAAAGAGCTGGTTTCAGGCTGAAAAAGTTTTACACAACCCTGGTTTTCTTATCTAGTTCACCAGCTCTACAAGTTCCTTAAAAACAAACCTAAAACAGAGTGACTCCAACTGTTATGGGATGCTATTCCTATGGAAGATCTGAAATAAGGAGAAACATCCCCCTCAAATCTTAGGCCTTTGTTCTTTACATTGTGTGTGAGGATGTTTAGCTGGCAGGAATCTATTTGTTCCAGAGCTCATCCTATCGGGAAAGTCCATCTATAGAAGAGGAAGGAGGAAGAGCCCCACCCCACACCAAACTCTCCAAATTGTTTCCACAGGACTTTCAGAAACAAAGCCCTTGCACTCCCACAAGGATGCATAATGAGTGTAGCAGACAGCCTGAGGCTTCACCTTTAGGAGTCTTACTGCCCATGTTGTAACAGGGTAACATGTTCCTAGCTGAGAAAACATTTCCAAACCAAGCATCTTCAAGGTCATTGAACACTGATGGGGATTTCCATGGATTTAAGTAAGAAGTTGGTCCCAAGGTGAAATACTAATATACTTTGAAAGAAGTGTTCAGATTGAACCCAAAGCAAGTAATAATACTTTCTAATTATGTCAATAATCTTTGGGAGTTCCTATTCCCTTCACCCATTTGTATAGAAAAGGCAAAAAACCCACTTTAAATTCACTTTTTAAGTAACATTTTGAATACTTATTTGGAAGTAGTGATTAATTATTCTACACTTTTGACAATGTAAAGAATAAGTTTTGAAATATAATCCTTGATATTGGATATAAATATATTTTTCATCTTAATTATATTCTTGTCTTTGATTTTCAGTATTTGCCTTTATTACAAGGGAAATCTTTAGGCATGATTTTTGAAAAAAGAAGCACTCGAACAAGATTGTCAACAGAAACAGGTGAGTCCACCAACAAACTCACCCTTCTGTTGAAGAAGGGCCAGAGAGTGAGGATCTGGGAGAAAGGAATAGCCCAGGGTGTGTGTGTATGGGGAGGGGGGGTCTGTCTTTCTCTTTGGCAACCATAAAGGGGAAATACTGTCTTTGGGAGTATCAGTGCAAGCTTCTAAATGCCCTTTCCAATTATCATAGAATCTTTAAGCAGAAAGATTGGCTTCATCTATAGGAATTCAATGAGGACTTGAGTAGAAGTCCCAAATAGAAGCACTTTGTGTTAAGTACAAAATTTAAGTGGACACAAATTCTCATTCTTCAAACTCATGTGGTCAAGAAATGTGTATTTTTCTAATATATGAAGAACTTTTTCTTATTTATACCAATTTTTCTAGATGGTGGAAACCTAATGCCTGCAACATTACACAATCCTCAGTCATTTCAGGGTTCGTTTTGCCAATTTAGTGTCTCCTATACCTTATATTACAGCTGTGGTTAAGTCCTAGAGAGTATGAGAATGTCAAGACATCTAGGACTATGGATATCTGGTCATTGGTCATCAAGACATCTTCATTGACCCATGCTGAAGTCCTCTGTATTCGTATTGAACCTTTGTTGTCTCCCATTCACTGTGGAGTTTGCTTCACTCTGATCACAAGACCTGAAATATATCTTAGTTTGGCTCTCTCAATTTCTTGGCAGCTCTCCACGCTACACTGGGCACAGAGATACTGCAAGGCTATCTCTACTCTATTGTTCCTTCCTCATGCTGGGTGCCAGGGAGTTCTATAACATTTGTTGCCTCCTAGAGCTCTGTCTTAAAAGCATGACACAGGTGTCTCTGCTCTAGGGTTCCCCAAACTCTTCTGAAATGTCCATCATGCTCCCCAACCTGAAGTACTTGGCCTGGGGAATAGACAGGAGTTAACAGTGTCAAATACCCATCAATCTCTATTTCTGTTGCTTCTCTCTCGTTCCTCTTGTTCCCCTTCCAGTTCCAAATATTGAGGGCCCAGTGATAAAGTAGGAAAAACAACTCACTCTGATTTTTCATGTATTCTTTCAAATCTATTGTTTGTAGCTGGAATCCTAGGCTGTCAAAAATTATTTTTTCTCAAATGAGTATCTGGTCTAAGTTTCAAAAAATCTATTTTGAAGTTTATAAGCTTTTCTTTCTCTCTGCATTTCTGTTATATCAGACCTCCCTTGAAGCAACAATATGACTGCCCAAATGGGCAAATGAATAGGATCAGGGAGGAGGTATCACAAAAACACATTGTTTGATTCTTCAAATACCTTATCCTACTTACAAGCATCAGAGCTTTCTAGAACTTAGAAGCAAACATCTACTTCATGCCATTCTTGCCTTGTAACGATCAGTAACATAACAAAATAAAGTTCAGAAGGATTAAGTGACTTCCTAAGTTCACTCAATTAATACAAATCACAACAGGATTCAGATGCCAAGTTCACTGTTCTTATTAATGCACTTGAATTGTCTCCTGAAAGAAGGAAGGAGGAGGAGGGGAAACATATAAGGTACCACTTAATCTTTATAATCTTAGAAAGAAAACAGATGAAAATATTTTGCTCTTTAAAGCTGGCCCCAGTTAGTAATTCTCAAATTCTGCTACCTTTCAACACTGGTCTTCCATGATTTGGACAGCATTTTATTTTATCATTGGTACAGGAGTGTTCTTTTTTGAAGTTATAAAAATAATTAATACATAGAAATTTCTGAATTTTAAGTATTTAAAGCTAATTCTTCTTAGTTGATGATGTTTTCTGCCATTTTCTCTGTTCAAATGTTATTATTATTTTTTAAAATTAAATCTTTATTGTTCAGATTATTACAGTTCTTCCTCTTTTCCCCCCTTAGCTCCCCTCCACTCAGTTCCCACCCCACCCTCTGCCCTTACCCCCGCCACCCACTGTTCTCATCCATAGGTGTACAATTTTTGTCCAGTCTCTTCCCACACCCCCCACACCCCTTTCCCCCCCGAGAATAGTCAGTCCACTCCCTGACTATGCCCCTGATTCTATTCTATTCACCAGTTTATTCTGTTCATCAGATTATTTATTCACTTGATTTTTAGATTCACTTGTTGATAGGTGTGTATTTGTTGTTCATAATTTTTATCTTTACCTTTTTCTTCCTCTTTCTCTTCTTAAAGGATACCTTTCAGCATTTCATATAATACTGGTTTGGTGGTGATGAATTCCTTTAGCTTTTTCTTATCTGTGAAGCTCTTTATCTGACCTTCAATTCTGAATGATAGTTTTGCTGGGTAAAATAATCTTGGTTGTAGGTTCTTGCTATTCATCACTTTGAATATTTCTTGCCACTCCCTTCTGGCCTGCATAGTTTCTGTTGAGAAATTAGCTGACAGTCCTATGGGTACTCCCTTGTAGGTAACTGACTGTTTTTGTCTTGCTGCTTTTAAGATTCTCTCTTTGTCTTTTGCTCTTGGCATTTTAATTATGATGTGTCTTGGTGTGGTCCTCTTCGGATTCCTTTTGTTTGGGGTTCTCTGCGCTTCCTGGACTTGTAAGTCTATTTCTTTCACCAGGTAGGGGAAGTTTTCTGTCATTATTTCTTCAAATAGGTTTTCAATATCTTGCTCTCTCTCTTCTTCTGGCACCCCCATAATTCAGATTTTGGTACGCTTGAAGTTGTCCCAGAGGCTCCTTACACTATCTTCATATTTTTGGATTCTTTTTTCTTTTTTTTCTTTTTTAAAATATATTTTATTAATTTTTTACAGAGAGGAAGGGAGAGAGATAGTTAGAAACATCGATGAGAGAGAAACATCGATCAGCTGCCTCCTGCACATCTCCTACTGGGCATGTGCCCGCAACCCAGGTACATGCCCTTGACCGGAATCAAACCTGGGACCTTTCAGTCCACAGGCCGACGCTCTATCCACTGAGCCAAACCGGTTTCGGCTGGATTATTTTTTCTTTTTGTTTTTCCGGTTGGGTGATTTTTGTTTCTTTGTATTTCAAATCTTTGACTTGATTCTTGCGATCCTCTAGTCTGCTGTTGGAACTCTGCATAATATCCTTTATTTCAGTCAGTGTATGCTTAATTTCTAGTTGGTCCTTTTTCATAACCTCGAGGGTCTCACTAGATTTCTTGAGGGTCTCACTAAATTTGTCGGCGGTCTCACTAGATTTCTTGAGGGTCTCACAAAATTTATCTGCGGTTTCTAGAAAATTCTTGAAAAACCTTATAATCGTGGTTTTGAACTCTATAGCCAGTAGTTTGCTTTCCTCCATTTCTGTCATTTGTGACCTGTTTCTTTGTCTCCGTATTTTTTATGCTTCCCTGTGTTGATAGAGTGGCTTTGTGTGCTAGGTGTTCTATAGGCTCAGTCTCCCCAATTACCTGAGGTGGACACTCTTGGTGCACCTCCTTGTGGGCTTTGTGCACAGTCTTGTTGTAGTTAAGCCTTGATTGTTGTAGGTATCACTGGGAGGAATTGACCTCCAGGCCAATTGGCTGTGAGAATCAGCTGTGTCTACAGTGGGAGAACTTCTGTGCTGGAGACACCCTTCTGGGGCAAGACTTGCTTCAGTGGGGCTTTGGTGCTCACTAAGTCTGCCCCCTGAGCATGTCCCTTATGGATCTGAGGAGTTGTAATCTGGATGGTCCCACTCCGACCACTGGGTACACTGGCTCTTGGATCTCTAAGGAGGTGCTAATTTAGCCTCTGCCTGAGGCTACCCAGCAGGAGCTACAGAGAGATCTGCAGATTCCTCTTCTTTGTTTGGGGTTTGGAGGTGCCCAGATGAGGCCCAGCTGTGAAGCAATGCAAGCTGCTATGGGGCCTTGGACCTTCTTTTGGAAGTTCTGGGTCTCTCTGATTCAGCTGCAGTTTGTTAGGTAATTTTCAGATTGCAAAGGGCCAGGCCTTTCATATGCAAAAGCCTCTGTGCACAGCTTGGGTGGGGCGGGGTCTCAGGGGATCAATAGGTCAGAGCAAGCAGCTATGGCTGCTCTCCAGTCCTACCCTAAGAGGCCCTGCATCTCTGTGTGCTGGTAATGGCTGCAAGCACCTCTGAGAGAAAGCGGCCCTCGAGTCCTGCCGGATGCCAGACAGTCCAATTTCTCCCCGTATTAGTCTGGGTCCCCAGAGACTCACCCAGAACTGGAGTTCAGAGCAGTCGGGAGCTTGAGACTCCCCCCCGATTGAAAAAGACAACTGCGTCCTCAGCTGCCAGCCCTTTCCACGTGCGCCATGTCCTCAGCTGCCAGCCCTTTCAGCGTGTGCTTCTGTACCTCTGCACTTTACTTCCGTACCTCCTCTGAGTCTCAGTGCTTTTCTCTTTCCTTCTAGTTGTAGAATTTCCACTCAGCCAGCCTTTCTGTGGTTCTGGATGATGTCTGTTTTGTCTTTTAGTTGTATTTTTGAAGTGGTTTTGCGAGGCAGCAATTCAGGTGTTTACCTATGCTGCCATCTTGGTTTCCTCAAATGTTATTTTTAATATCAAATATCCCTATATAAGATATATTTTTTATTAATCACATTTACTGTGATTGTTACGCTATTAATGAAACCAAGAGTGAATATTTAATAAGTTTTTAATAGACCCTGTATCAAGTACTCTACATTAATTACATGGATTGTCTCACCTAATCTCATGACAACTCTGTAGGGGTGAGACCATAGGCTGAAACAGGTTCAACAAATAGCCCACGGACACATAGCTAATAAATAGCAGACCCAGGATTGGAAGCTATTATTAAATTTATTTTGTAAGCATATAATTTAATTTAGACATGTGATAGTCATGTATTATTCCAGTAAAATCATTTCTACAGGTGGCATTAAGCATCTTGTTAAATGGAGGCTTTCTATAAAGAAGGGCTCTGAAACTTGCACAAAATCATAAACTGTTGCAACAAATACATGGGAAAAGGAACATAAGACCATAAAAAGTTATGGTTCACAGAGTATTCATCATTAGTTCTAATTTCATATGGCATTTTGCCAAGCTCAACAGTAGAAGAATCAGTCAGAGTAAGGAGCTGCTTTAAATGCTTACAGAAATGGTAAACCTCAACCAAGAACATGGTAGAGCTTTTCTATTATGTAAATGTGCATAATAATAGTTGGCACAATTTTTCATCAAAACCTTTACCTTGGTACTTAGAATGAAAATAGGATGTAATTAAAACTGTCTGTTGCTACCTTGGATTTATGCCAGCCTCTGGGATGAGGTGATCCTCACCAGACAATCCTTGAGAATTCCATCACAATTCTGAGTAGCAGAGATATAGCAGTATTTCTACTTATTCCAGGGGACAGAATAACATTTTCCACTCAACTTAAGCGATATTAATTGCTCATGTAATATTTTAAAATATACTTACTTTATTTCAGAGAGGACAGGAAAGGGAGAAAGAGATAGAAAGATCAATGATGAGAATCATTAATCGGGCCCCCTACTGGGGATGGAGCCTGCATCCCGGGCATTTGCTCTGACCGGGAATCAAACTGAGACCTCCTGGTTCACAGGTAAATGCTCAACCACTGAGCCGTGCCTGGCCAGGTATTCATGTAATACATATATATATATTTTTAAATATATTTTTTATTGATTTTTTACAGAGAGGAAGGGAGAGGGATAGAGAGTTAGAAAGATCGATGAGAGAGAAACATCCATCAGCTGCCTCCTGAACACCTCCTATTGGGGATGTGCCTGCAACCAAGGTACCTCCCCTAGACCAGAATTGAACCTGGGACCCTTCAGTCTGCAGGCCGATGCTCTATCCACTGAACCAAACTGGCTAGGGCCATGTAATATTTTTTATTAATTTAAGTGTAACACACCTATAGAAAGTAAACAAACCATTAAGCATATAGTTCAATGAATTCTTACAGTGAACACATCCTTGTAACTAATACCCAGATAGATAAACAGGACATTAATAGCAATCAGAAGCCCTCCCTTGTATCTCCTTCCAGTTACTACTCCCCCCATCCTAGGGTTACCATTATCCTGGTTTTGAACATTGCAGATGTTTTTTTTACCAGTTTTGCCTGTTTGGGAGCATTATATAAGTGGAATCATTCAGCATATGCTCTTTTGTATCTGGCTTATTTTGTTCAAATTTATGTTAGTGAGATATCTCAATGTCATTGTGTGTACTTGTAGATCCTTTATTCCTCACTCACTCTTTGTGTATGCCTGCCTGGAAAACTGTGCAATTCTCCTGTGTGTTTACTTATGATTATATTATTTTATTGCAAGTTAATTGAGCAGATAGACAGATACATTTATTAATCTTGTTAAGTGCAGTAGCTGATAGAAAAATCACAGGATATCCTAAGAGATGACTCTTTTCATTATTTAACATTAGTATTTGACTTTTAAGGTGAAATAGAAGCTGGTATTTTCCAAGCTGTTTCAAATTCAACACCTTTACAAAGGTGGCAATATAAAAATCATGATACCATTCTGCAGGTAGGAAAGTGAAGAACAGAGAGAAGTTAATGACTGCCTTAGTTCTATCAGCAAGAGCCTTCAGAGCCCCCAGATTTCTAGTGCATGAAGAGCCCCCAGATTTCTAGTGCATGAATATACATACATACATATACATATTATATATATATATATATAAATTGATTTCAGAGAGAAAGGGAGAGGGAGAGCTAGAAACATCAATGATGAGAGAGAATCATTGATAAGCTGCCTCCTGCACGATGGACCGAGCCCGCAACCCAGTATGTGCCCTTGATCGGAATTAAACCTGGGACCCTTCAGTCTGCAGGCTGACGCTCTATCCACTGAGCCAAACAGGCTAGGGCCATGAATTCTTTTGAGCAAAATAACAGCTACTATTATATCCCCAGACATAAATTAAGATATTAACAGAAGAAACTCTTTGTTCAAAAATATTTGATGAAGGTTGAAGAGAGAGTAGAGACCCATCCCTCTGCCCTCCTCTCCTCAGCAATTTCTTCTCAGAGTCAATGTCCCCCATTTTATCTTCTTTAAGAACTGCTGAAGGCTTTGATCCTACTTCTTAACACTTTCTATAACCCCCCTTCCTCCACCTACCTCAGAGGAAAATGAAAATGAACTAATCCTGGGTTATTACAGCAAAATGACTTCTAGTCAAAATAAGAGTGTGACTTGGAGCATTTCTGCCCAGAGGTCTTAAACTTTGTGTGAAATGTTCTTCCATAGTCCTCAATCTTCAATTACAATCATCCCCATGCTAGGCATATAGTAGACACACAATAAATACTTTCTAGATGAATTTTCAGTATTCATATTTATTTCGGTGCCTAAATTCCATTACTTCACTTCACACATAATAGAACATTCTGTTCTTTCTGTTAACAAAATTAGATGTTTGCAAATGAAAAGAATGGGTCCTCTTTCCAGAGTCAAAATCCCTCCTAAATCCATTCAACAAGTATTTGTTGAGCAATTACTATGTACCACAATTTATTCTAGATCAGCCGTGGGCAAACTATGGCCCGCGGGCCGGATCCGGCCCGTTTGAAATGAATAAAACTAAAAAAAAAAAAAAAGACTGTACCTTTTTATGTAATGATGTTTACTTTGAATTTATATTAGTTCACACAAACACTCCATCCATGCTTTTGTTCCGGCCCTCCGGTCCAGTTTAAGAACCCATTGTGGCCCTTGAGTCGAAAAGTTTGCCCACCCCTGTTCTAGATTCTTGAGAGTGATACATCAGTGAACAAAATAAAGAAAAACCCCTGCCTCCGTGTGGGTACACAAACAATAAATAATAGACAATCAATAAGTGAATGATAATACAATATCAGTGGAAGGTGATAAATGCTCTCAGAAAGGAGAAAAATGTGCCTGGAATTGGGAGAAAAACATGTATTCCATTATTTGGATTTTGGCTTTACTCTGAGTAAAACGGGAAAACTTTGGATGGTTTTGAATGAAGGAGGGACATGATCTAACACGCATTTTAAAAGAATCTCTATTGAGAATAGAGTGTTGGGGTGGGGATGGAGGCAAGATAGAAACAGTGAAATATGTTAATATGTAACTATAGTACATAGAAGTTGGGGCAGGGTGGTAACAATGGAGGGAGTAAGATATATAGATTCTGGGTATGTATTGAAGGGAGAGCCAACAAGATTCCTGATGTATTGGGTAAGAGAGAGACATTAAGGATGACTCAAGTTTTTTTTATAAGGAAGAGGTCAGGGAAAAGAAAATGGAGACTGAGAAGGACCAATGACCAAGTAGATATAAAAGGAAGATGGTGTGGTATCCTAGAGAGTATGGCAAGAAATTTTTATCAAGGACAGGGTGGTGAACAATTTTGTTAAATGCTGCTATGGCAAGAGAGAAATGGCCACTAGATGTAGCAATGTGAAGGTAATTGGTGACTTTGGTGAGAGAAGCTTTGGTGCAGTGTTGGGAGACCAAAGCCTTACGGGAATAGGTTTGAAGAAAATAAGAAAAGAAGAACCGAAGAGAAAAAGAAAAAACAGAGTTTTGCTGCAAAGGGAGCAAAGAATTAAAGAGATATCTAGTAGGGGAAATAAGGACAAGACAACATTTGCATTTGTTTTTATTGAGTGAGAAAATGAGATGTAGGTAATGTAAGGGAGAAATGGAAGAGTAACATGCTTGAGTAGGCAAGGGGAATGGCTTCTAGTGCATACATGTATGTTTTCTGAAGGAAAACAGAATATGTGGGTACAGATGCTAGCAAGTGGGATAATGGGGTGGTGGAGGAATCTAGAAGTTCTCTTATTGCTGGCTTTACTTTCAAAATATATCAAGAACCCTATTACTTTCTCATCATTTCAGCCACTACCTGCCTGGTCCAATCTATTAACTCTCACCCAAAGTTTTGCAACATAAGTCCAATTATGTAACTCCTCTGCTCCAACCCTCCAATGGAAAGTGATGCTGGGCCTGAAAGCTGGTAGCAGTGAAACATCACAAATGGAGGTAGACTCTATTACAGGATCCTTAGCAAGTAGAACTATTAGTGTGTTTTGTGTTCTCTGATTCTACCTGGGACATAGCATATCTGATCTGCCAGGTTTTGCACAAGAGAATGGAAAAACAGGCATACATCTGAAGGAGAGGTCAGTGCTTATACCGAAATTTCCCTAGGTTCCTTATTTTGCTTTGCTTGGGAATTCCCTACTAGAGAGGTTGGAGAGCTTTAAAGATTTTGACTTTTCAATTGAGATGGTGACAGTACTTAATAATTGTGTTTCCCACTTTAGTTCTTTTTTTTCAAAATGCATTTTTTTCTCTTTCTTTTATTGTAGGCTTTGCACTTTTGGGAGGACACCCTTGTTTTCTTACCACACAAGACATTCACTTGGGTGTGAATGAAAGTCTCACGGACACAGCCCGGTTTGTAAATCTTCTTAGCTTCAAATATTATTTCAAAATTAATGGATACATTTCAAAAAGAAAATATGCTTTTCTCTCTCAGTGTACCGATCATACAATTTCAAATTTAGGGAAAATTAGGAATCATCAAGCATGACCCTTATATTTTACAATTGAAGAAATTGAGGTCCTGGGAAATGGACACATTCAATGACTCATATGTACTTAGCATTAAAGCACATATTAATATTAATAGCAAATATTATTGAGCATTTATTATGTGTCAGCATTGATCTAACTTATTTAATCCTTATTACAACCCAAAGAGATTCACATAAAGAGGTGAATCAACTTAATTAGGGACATCTAACTACTATAAACACAAAATCTCAAAATCTCAATGGCTTAACATAGTGTGGATGTTCCTGATTGGTAAGAGGAAACGGATAATTATTTATGTGGTTATTGAGAGACTCTGGATGAGAGTGGCTCTACAATCTTCAACATGTGGCCTCTAAGGTCACCCTGGATGTCAACATCCAGCCAGGAGCTAGGGGAAGAAAGCATGGAGACCACATACTTGCTTCAAAGCCACCTTAGCAAGGAAGTGGAACAATCACTTCTACTCACATACTATTGACAATTTCTAGCAGCTCACCCCTACCCAGATGAAATAGAGGTGGGGAAAGGCTTGTAGCAACTATACTGAAGATTGAAACATAGGGGCCACTGATTCCCCATGCAGTACTCTCAACATTATATCATGTCTGGTTGAGAAATACAGAGCAAATGTCTTTGTTTAGATATTTTAACCTTGGTATGGAAGATTAATGTTTTGTTTTGTTTTTCTGAAAATGATGTGCCATAAAGCAACTCCTTGCAGACACTGCCTCCTTTTTATAGTAGCTGAAGAGATTTGAAATAAATCAACTTTAAATCTTTCTGTTACATTATTTCAGATGAGACAATGTTAGTATTAAGAAGTGTTGAACAAAAAGAATAAATAAACACAAATGAGGTTTTCTTCCAAATATGCTGCCACTGACTGGGATTATATTTGCCCAATAATTCTCCTTTCACAAAAGTGAAGTATACTTTATTCAAGAGCAAATATAACAAGCTGGTCAAGAGATGAAGCCAGGGTCACAGCCAAGATAGAGTTTTAGTGGGGATCTTCCATAGAGGACCAAGTGACTGATGGTAAATCAGTCATGTGTGAACTAGTGGTTTGAAAAGGGTACAGTTGGAGGAACAGCTGAGCATCCAATAAATAGTTAAGGAGTGCAGATTGGCAGCCAGAAAGAGGTCAGGGCCCAGAAATCAATGGAGTGGGCAGGACCCCCAAAACAAGGGACAAGAAACCAAGCATGGGTTGAAAGATGAGGATGAGTATAATCATGTTTGTGTGTGTGTGTGTGTGTGTTTGCTCTGTACACAATTCCCATCACAAGTTTTTAGTCAGAGATGCTCTACACAGATCCTGAGAAAAACCAATCTGCTTACAAGTCCCAACATGTTTGGGACCTTTTAGATCCATTGCTACATGTATATATGTAATTAGATCCATTGCTACATGTATACATGAATACATAAAATTTGAACCATAGAATTCCTTCTTATCCTTCCATCTTATCCAAAAGACTCTGAATGCAAATAATAACTCCTCCTTAAAGGGTATATACCATAGACCTCTTGTACTATTATCTCTAAATCTTTGTAAAAACCTTACAAAGTAATTATTGGCCCAATTTTATAGACAATGAAACCATGATTCAGACTTAGCAGCTAAGTCAGCAGTTAAAACATGCTGTGTTTTTAAGGCTATGCTGTTTTGAATACTGCCTCTTCTAAACATCCCATGAGAGGGTCAGTGAAATATGTTATGAAAATCATTTGCTTCTGTGTCATGAGGTCCCCAAGACCACCACCATGTTTGATGATTCACCGGTAAGGATTCACAGCACTCAAAATATGATCATACCCATGGCTATGATTTATTACAGTGAAAGTATACCAATCATAAGCAGCAAAGGGAAAAGGCACATGAAACAAAGTTCAAGGGAAACCAGGTGCAAGCTTCCACTAGTCCTCTCCCAGTGGAGTCACTCAGGATGTGCTTAATTCCCTTGATAATGAGTTGTCACAACACATGCAAAATGTTGTCAACCAGGGAATCTTTTTAGACAGTAAGTGCTTGGTGGTTTTACTGGGGGATGGTCACATAGCATCCTTTGTTTGACATTTACCCAAATCCCAGACTCCCAGGAGGAAAGAAGGTGTTTACTTTATTTATTTTTATTTTTTAAAAAATGTATTTTTACTGATTTCATAGATAAAGGGAGAGGGAGAGAGAGATAGAAACATCAATGATGAGAGAGAATCATTGATTGGTTGCTTCCTGAGCATCCCACACTGGAGGTCGAGCCCACAACCCAGGCATGTGCCCCTGACTGGAATCAAACCTGGGACCCTTCAGTCCACAGACCAATACTCTATCCACTGAGCCAAACCAGCTAGGGCAGCAGATGTTTAATTTAAACCGTATTGTTTGTAAAAAAAAGTTTTGGCACATCAAGAAACTCTTATTAGGCCTGGGAATGGTGGAAAAGTGGTCTAAACCAAAGTTCCCAGATGTCATCTAGAGGCATCTTACAAGCAGTGCGTTCAAAAGATAGTAGTCAGGCTTTCAATCTTAACTCTTTTCTGCATGGCTTGAAAATATCTCTGGATCTTAATTTCCTTTTCTAAAATGTGAGGGAGTTCTGATACTTAAGTTTAACTTTATACACTCAAATGCATGCAAATATATGAAATACAAAGTGGTAGTCCTCAAATAGAGGTGTGTCCCAATGTAAACCACGTGTAGACAGTTGCAGAGTAATTTGGATTGGGGTGGAGATAGGAGGTGGAGAGATAATTTATAATTCTGCAGGTTAGGGTTCATATAAGCATCGATATTTTAACAAGCTCCTGAAATGATTCAGCTGCAACAGTGGCTGAACCACACTTTGAGAGACTCTGAATTGAAAGGTTGTATTGTAATTCTGGGCTCTTGTGCTCTCAATCTATGCTAGCACATTAGTGAAGGGAATGGTAAATAAGAGACAGCTAATAAACTATTTATATGGCTTCATGATAAGTGATTACAAAGGGTACATTGATAGTGGAGACAAAATTATTTCAGATTAGGTATTATTAAAATATTTATGTATGTATTAGAAGAAGAAAATGAAAGAAATTTCTGCTTTCAGGAGGAGGTGATAGATTAGGTATTGGACATATTTCATTAAAGGCTGTACCTCCAAATACAAATAAATTGTCATAGACCATTGGAGATAAAGACCTTGAGTAAAGTTGAAAGCTGGGGAAATAGCAGTATAAGTTCAGTGATAGAAAATGACCTACAGAGTTTCATAGCAGGAGAATTGCCGAAGGCTGAACCTTGAGGACAGGTGCAGTTAAGGAGGAGTAAGAGGAATTCATCAGGGCACAAGAAGAAGGATAATAAGGTTAGTGCAATATCAGATGAGGCTGCAATGGGAGATGGAAATGCCAGAAGTTAAGGTAGAGTAACCACTGTGGAAATCTGACTTTCTTTTGTGTACCTCATTACTACTTGATCTGCCAAAATATATGACAAACAAGATATTGCTGAGATTCAGAAATTCCATAAATCTAAATTGAAGAAGACAAGAGAAGCCCACTGCCTTTCACAGAGCAATTGAACAGGAGATGGAAGGAAGTAAATCTTAATGCATTTGTAAGATGCAAGTAGATTAGATAATGTTTAAACAACAGTGCTGGCCCTTTGAAATAAAGAGACTAGTGCCTACTTGTCAATAATTGATGGACTTGATTCTCCATCTGACTGTCTGGCTATTTTGAGGACCCTTACAAGTTGGTCCTGCCTCAGCCACTAAAGGGAGGGGAAATAAAATCAGATCAAGGAATGAAAAACTTAAATACACATTCAAAATAGAATGTGTCACTTTTTTCTTTCTTTTTTAAAAATATATTATTATTATGGTTTTACAGATGAAGAAACTAAACCATAGTTAAATTTTAAAAAATGTCCAAAGCCAAACAGCTACTAAGTTACAGTTAGATTTAGAACCCAAGACTAACTGAATACCTTATAATAATGACTCTATGTTTGATATAAATGCTATCATGAGGATTTCTAAAATTTTTTGTCATTAAGAAATTAAGAATTGTTTCTTAAAACTGAAATGATTAGAAGCCTCTGTTTTGAGGGATTCTCTTAAATAAAAAAACCAAGATTTTAACTCAATTCATCTGCAAATTTGAGGTCATGTGTTGTAATGGTAAGAACATGAACTTTTGAGTTAAACTGACTTTGATTTGAATCTGAACTTCTCCAACTTAATTGGCTGTGTGATTCAGGGCAAGTTAGTTAAGCTCTCTATGTCTCAGGTCCTTCAGCTATAAAATGATAATATCCATCTTTCAATGAATTGTTTGAATTTGTGGCCATGAGTTTATTTGTGTTGCTTTCTTGGTAGGGGGTATGTGTGTGTGTGTGTGTTGTATGATGTTGCAGAGATGCTGATAACTATCCAGAGTTCAGGGACAAGGGATAAATGCTAGCTGTGTCAATTCAGGTTTACTGGATGGAATTAGGCATGCAAGAGATGTATTGGGGAAACAATTGTAAAAGATTAAGGGGAGAGGAAGCAGGATTAGCCAGGGAGAGCTTTTAGGGGGTGATGCAGATCTGACCCCAGTGAAAGGAGAGAAGGAAGGAAAGAGTAGGATAGAAAGAACATCAGAGTGCAGCTCTGAGGAATTCTCAGCCAGGCTGATGAGGAACCTCACTTTTCTGACTGCCTATCAGAAAAGTGTCCTGTCAGGCAGAATGGCCCACCTCTCATGCCCCCACCATGCTCAGTCATTGGTGGGAACAGCCTGGGGAAAGTGGGGCCTCAGCAGGAATGCTGCAGTGCATTCTGAAGGTATAGCATCTAGGGCTGTTAGCTAATGTCACTCTTCCAAGAAGGTTCTCTCTTGTAAGGCAATCTGTGTGTGCACCTCCATGGCTACCACACTGGTACTTTCCATTTGATAGTGAAAATGTATATTTGTCTGTGGAATGGTGCAAAAGAAAATTAGCTTCATTCCAGGTCATTAATATTTCTTTGTATATCTTCTTTTGGGTATTTTCTCTAACTTTACCAACTGCTACTTATAATTACTAGAGGCCTGGCACATGAAATTCGTGTGCAGGTAGGGGCCCTAGGCCTGGCCTGTGATCAGGGCCAACCTTCCCCAGCTGCTGGCAGCTGGCCTCACCCCCCACTGCCAATGCCAGTTGCCCTCTGTGTGGCAACCGGCGGGGTGATCAGGGCCCCACTAGCTCGCACCCACCTTGGCCTGGTGCTGCCAGCATCCACTGCCACCCCCAGTTCCCCGTTCCCCATTGGGCAATTGGGGCCTGCAGGCTGGGAGCAGCTCCTGCATTGAGCATCTGCCCCCTGGTGGTCAGTGTGCATCCTAGCGACCAGTCATTCCACTGTCCAGTTGACTTGCATATTACGCTTTTATATATATAGATAATTCATCACTATGACTGCAAGTCCCACAATTGATTTCTTATCTCTAAAAAATAGTAAAATTAGTGGTCACTATTTATGACATCAGTGGAACAACATTTGCCATCTGTAATGACTATGCATTTAATATTATCTTTTAAATCTGTTGTGGTGATGGGTAGTTGTAACTTAGTAAAACTTCTAATTTATTAGCATTTCTTATTACTGTTTAAGATTCTGTATTAAAGAGGGAATTATTAAGCATAATTAACTTAGATAATCTTTTCTTGGTTTGCTGCAGTGTCTTATCTAGCATGACAGATGCAGTGTTGGCTCGAGTGTATAAACAATCAGATCTGGACATCCTGGCTAAAGAAGCATCCATTCCCATCGTCAATGGGCTGTCAGATTTGTACCATCCTATCCAGATCCTGGCTGACTACCTCACGCTCCAGGTTGGCTTACTTCCTTGCCTTATACAAGAGAGACTAGCTCTAAGTAGAACCATTTCTATCATAGTATTGGTGTTTTGTTTTCAAATATAATCTTGGTAATGAATTATAGCATGTCTGTATACTAGCTATTCAAGGAATAAGGCATTGTTAAAAACAATGTCTGTGTGTGTGTGTGTGTGTGTGTGTGTGTGTGTGTGTGTGAAACTGTTATTCCATATGGAGGGGTTGTGGAAAAGCATTTCTTTTATCCCCTGTTCTTTCAACCCTTTTGCTTTTTGGTCCCATATCTAACACAATGGATGAATAGTGAATGCTGGAACATACATAACAGAAAAGCTTTATGTAATCCTCCATACATCAGACTGAGTTGCTTGGGAGTGAAAACTGATGGAGTGTGCTTTCAATATTCAAAATGGCCAATTATGAAGTCACTTTCTGAGAATAAGGCTATTTCCATCATTTTAATAAACTGATTGAGACTAGAGTTAAGGACATGCAGAATACATAGAATTGAGGCTCAAATTTAGCCATGTACCCCCAATTTAGGAACTTGAATAACTTTAAAAGGTTTATCTCGTTTGTTTTGCCACAGCCATTCTACATAGTTTTGCAACTGGGAATCCTGAAAACCATGGTTTCTGTGTCTATGGACTATTCTGGGGAAACAGGGAAAACTGGATAGGTCCATATTCCTCCTCATCTACACTAATAAAAGAGAAACATGGTAATTGGCGTACAACTGCTACCCTTCCCATTGGCTAATCAGCATATCCTTATGCAAATTAACTGTCAGCCAAGATGGCGGCCGGCAGCCATGCACTGAAGCGAGCAGGGAGGCTTGCTTGCTCCAGTGACTGCGGACTCCAACGTTCCCCGCCTAACTTGCCGGCCTCTCAGCTGCAACTCTAAGCAACTATGTTGCAAATATAGAAGCTAAACAAAACCCCAGAAACCTGCATTAGTCAGCCGGGCTTCAGCCAGCCGGACCACAACATTGTATCAAATACAGAAGGTAAAGGCCAGAAACCTGCTTTCAGGAGGCCTCAGAGCTAAAGCTGGCCCAGAATAGAAAAAAAAAAGAAAAAAGGAGCGGTTGGGAGCTTCAGTCAACCCACCAGCCTGAAAACAGCCCTCAGCCCCTCACCCAGACTGGCCAGGCACCCCAGTGGGGACCCCCACCCTGATCCAGGACACCCTTCAGGGCAAACCAGCCGGCCCCACCCGTGCACCAGGCCTCTATTCTATATAGCAAAAGGGTAATATGCCTCCCGGCACTGGGATCAGCATGACAGGGGGCAGCACCCAAACCCCCTGATCGCCCTGCGGCTCTGTGTGTGACAGGGGGCGGGGCCACAACCTCCCTATCCGCCCTGCTTTGTTCGTGACAGGGGAAGGCGCCCCAACCCCCTGATCAGCCCTGCTCTGTGCCTGATGGGGGGAGCTCCCCAATCCCCTGATTGCCCTGTAGCTCTGTGTGTGACAGGGGGGAGCTCCCCAACCCCTTGATCGGCCCTGCTCTGTGTGTGACAGGGGGCAGGGCCACAACCTCTCTATCCTCCCTGCTCTGTTCCTGACAGGGGAAGGCACCCCAACCCCCTGATCAGCCCTGCTCTGTGGGTGATAGGGGGAACCTCCCCAATCCCCTGACCCCCTGCGGCTCTTTGTGTGCAAGGTTCCGGCGCCCCACCCCCCCCCCCCCCACGGGCCCTGCTCTGTGTGTGACAGGGTAGAGCCATAACCTCTCCATCGGCCCTGCCCTGAGTGTGACAGTGGCGGCGCCCAACCCCCTGATCAGCCCTGCTCTGTGGGTGATAGAGGGTGGTGCCCCAACCCCCCTCCACGGGCCTTGCTCTGTGTGTAATGGGGTAGAGCCATAACCTCCCCATTGGCCCTGCCCTGAGTGTGACAGGGTGCAGCACCCCAACCCCCTGATCTGCCCTGCTCTGTGTGTGACAGGGGGCGGTGCCCCAACTCCCCTATCGGCTCTACTCTGTGCATGACAGGGGGGAGCTCCTCAACCCCCTGATCAGCCCTGCTCTGTGCCTGATAGGGGGGAGCTCCCCAACCCCCTGATCGGCCCTGCTCTGTGTATGACAGGGTGCAGCACCCCAACACCCCCCCCCATAGGCCCTGCTCTGTGTGTGACGGGGTAGAGCCATAACCTCCCCATCGGGCCCTGCCCTGAGTGTGACAGTGACAGTGCCCCAACCCCCTGATCTGCCCTGCTCTGTGTGTGACAGGGGGTGGTGCCCCAACTCCCCTATTGGCCCTGCTCTGTGCGTGACAGGGGGGAGCTCCTCAACCC